GGCTTTTATAGCACGGGCAGGCTTGCTGGGGCTGACTTCTTGACTTTCCATTCCCTGCCATATCTGCGCGCGTATAGCAAATAATCGATCTATGGCCTCGTTAAATTTCTAATCAGCAACAGGTAGTTTTAATATTACGGTTCAAGAGAATTATATACAAATAATAATAATAATAATAATAATAATAATAATAATAATAATAATAATAATACAATAATAATAATAACAATAATAATAATAATAATAATAATAATAATAATTTATTTATTTGGCAAAGTAATTGTACAATCTTACCAGGAGCAAGGAATAAGAACGAGCCCAAACAGTAAAACTGCCCTTGCTCCATCATCAAAATATACAGTAAAGGCAAAAGAGAAACAAAAAATAAGTAAAACTGATTTATAATCAACTTAATTAACAAAATTAAAAACTTTAAAAAAATGAAAAAATCCTCATTTGAAATTGACTTAGAATTTTAGTACTGTAAACAAGAAAGGTACTAAATTTGTAAAAACAAGGAATATTTTAAAAAAACCCAGAAAAACATAAATCAGTACAGTATCTTGCGATCAAGTATTTAGTTAGTTGAGCTTTGAAATCAGAAATGGTTGAGGATTGCTGAATTTGTACTGGAAGTTGTTCCCAAAGTCTTGGAAAAATTACAAAAGATGAATTTAAGAAGGTATTGGTTTTGGCTTTCCAATGTATCAAACGCCCATCACACCTATCACTTGATCTAACAAAATCATTAAAGGAAGAGGGACAGTAGTAGGGTTATAAGTCTATGAACTTGAAACATATCTTCAATACTTAAAATAATATCTTTAATCTATATGAATATGAAGTCTCCCAAGTTTCTTCTTTTCTATGAATAATAATTCTAGTGGCTTTCCTCTGTACCCTCTCCAACCTACTAATATTCACATTTTCATTAGGCGCCCACATACAACAACAATATGTGAATAAGTGCTTTATACAGATTTAGCATTGCTAACCAAGACATTGCTTTACTGCATCTTGAAACAAAACCAAGAAGCTTGCTTGCCTTATTGCATACATAATTTAAATGGGAATGACATGTTAACCTATTATTAATATACGCACCAAGAAGTTTGAATTCATTGACTCTTTCTATCTTATAAGAGTTAATGTTATAATCACAGGAATGATTTTTTTTTTTACACCTAGTTAAACTCATGGTTGCACATTTAGAAGAATTTAATGGAAGTTTATTTTTAACTGACCATTCAAAAATCTTATTCAAATCACTTTGAAGCTTTAAGCAGTCACCACTTTCATGAATAGGCCTTGAAATAGTATTGTCATCCGCAAACTGAAAAAAATGTAGAGTTTAAACCATTCTCAAGATCAATTACAACAATAATATAATATAAAATTCTACAAATGAAAAGCAAACCATGACAAAGCATATTTCGTTCTTTTTCAACCATGTGTGAATACATCAATCAGTGACTGCTTTCTGAAAACAGTTCGTCGGCGTATTGTCACGCATAATCTCTCGGACTATTATTACCATAAGCATAGTAGAATAAACTGAATAATACCATAACCCGATGCAAAGATATAAAGTACAAGTAAAGCCCTTTTTATGTGGTATATAATTGTTCGTACTCGTAAGCCACAAGTGTTAATTTCATTGAATATCAAAAATGGCCGAAACGTATACTGTAAATGTTGATCTGGCAATTGAAACGAAAAGATGGTACCAATTTGTGAATGTTATTCATTGATCAGACCTAGCTTATCAGCATTTTGCTTTGAATGTTTTTTTTTTTAACTACTCTGCCGTATGTGACCTATATTAAGGGTGAGTTATTAGAATCGGTGTTACCCATATACGGTTTACCATTATGACAGATATAATTATGACAAGCATTTGGTCTAAGCAAAATTCAGATAGGCCTATAGTAGCAGTAACAGCAGCAGTGGTACAAGTAGGCCTACCAATAGTAATACAGTTGTAGTAGTAGGCCTATCAGTAGTGATATAGTAGTAGCAGCAGCAATAGTAATAGCTGCAGCAGTAGTTATAATAGTAATAAGTAAAAGTAGTAGTAGTAGTAGTAGTAGTAGTAGTAGTAGTAGTAGTTATAGTAGTAGTAGTAGTAGTAGTAGTAGTAGTAGTAGTAGTAGTAGTAGTAGTAGTAGTAGTAGTAGTAGTAGTAGTAGTAGTAGTAGTAGTAGTAGTAGTAGTAGTAGTAGTAGTAGTAGTAGTAGTAGTAGTAGTAGTAGTAGTAGTAGTAGTAGTAGTAGTAGTAGTAGTAGGGACGGTGGTGGTGGTGGTGTTGGTGGTGGTGGTGGTAGTAGTAGTAGAATTTAGTAGTAGGAGGAGTAGCAGCGCAGGCAACAGGCAGCAGTAGCAGTTAGTTGAATGCATGCAAAAAGTTGTAAGATGGTGTGATTTATTTTTCTTGCAGTGTGATTGTTACGAACAAGGCAATTCTATCATTTGATTAGATTGTGGACAATAGGCCTAAATGTGAATTGTGGATATATTTAGCAAAATACAGATGTCAACTCGGGTGGATGCAGACGGTGCGATCGCGCCGCATCCACCCCCGCCCCCACCTATTTTTTATTAAGAAAAATAATTGTTGTATTAACATTGTTGACATGAATTATTGGTAAAATTTTAAAGGTATGAGAGTGCAATTTCCGGCACCCAGAGGTCCCTATTCTCAAAATATGGTGTAACTATTATGAAAATAGGTAAAATAAATACATCAAAGACAATGTTTTATTTTCTATGGAACATCATACGTATTAAGTAGGTCTCTGTGGTTGCCGAGAATCGCTGATAAAAGATCATGAGAATTTGTTGGTGCTTCATATTGATTATATAATGGTGATGTGATGAAGATGAATATTACTATTAAAAGTGTCATTTCCGGTCATCTACAGGTACTAGCGTATTTCCCGACCTTTCAAAACAGATCTGCGCCCTTGCAAGCACCCCTACCGCCAAATTCTGTATCTGCCCCCAGCTTAATGTCCCTCGACAGAAATAAAGAGAGAGAGAAGAAAAAAAAAGGAAAATAAATAAATATGTAAAAATAAAATGAAAAAATAAAAGAAAATAAATACACCTAGCTAGACCCCAACCGACGCATGGGCTTGTACCGCCACTGCCAACCAGACATCTGTAGGCCTATAATGGTTAAGATAGGGTCCATTGATCCCAAAATTGGGCCCCATTCTCCAGGTCGATCTGGTACCAACATTTTTCTATAACCTACTCAAAATCTGTAATGCATGATCCTAGTAAACCATCATTTTGGGTAACTATACTGACAAAGAAAATTAATTCTGAGTTTATGTGGATTATTTATTGGAAGACCATGTTGTTGCTCTCCCTTCATACGTCGAGGAGCCACGGACTTCTCCGCAAAAATAACCAAATTTAATCATTGTATACGGTAGGCCTCCTAATAAAGACGTTGACGAATGCAACCTTAAGTACAAATACATTAAGCAAAACACCATTTCATCTAAGTGAATTAATATTGCTAATTCTGACCAACAACAATTTTGTTTTTGGCCACGGTATTTTTAAGCTTCTCTTTAACACACATTAAACAGAGATTATCAAGATGGTCTAAAGATAATAATGGTCTGTATTAATATTGGCCTGTTTTCTGTTATGAAATTGGTTCAACACTGTAGCGATTGAAATCATCATCATCATCATCATCATCATCATCATCATCATCATCATCATCATCATCATCATCATTATCATCATCATCATCATCATCATCAAAAACGTCTTTATGTCACTCTATAGACATGACGCTCTTTTTAGTTTTGTATTGGGCTCTGTATGTAATGAGTGTTCCCGGTTCTTTAAATGGAGCTCTTATTTTTACCTCAGAAATATTACGCATCCTTCTCAAAAACATTTTTTGATTAGGCGTTTATGCTTCTTTCTCTTTTAAGTGTCCGCCGTTAACGTGAATACACGAGAGAACTGTAAACATTGGCATTGGATGCCTACACTAAATTTAATTTACAGTATGTTGCTCTCAAAATTAAATTATAAGCTAGGCCTAGGTGCTATTCCTTTCTTACAAGATATTTTAATCCGTTTAGCTCTGCTTGTGTTGTGGATATGTAGGAGAAGCAGTGGCGGATCTAGTAGGGGGGGGGGGGGGGGGGGGGATTGGGCGGGGGTGGGAGGTGTGGTTTTGGTCTGGGCGCAGATCTGTTTCTAAAGGTGAAGGGACACTTTGTGAGTCCACACAAATTTTATGAAATAGCTGTAGATGACAGGAAATGACACTTTTATATAGTAAAATTCATCGTCATCACATCACCATTATATAGTCAAAATGACCTTTTACCAGCGATTTTCGGCAACCATAGATGTCTAATTAATATATTTGATGTAGTTTAAAAAACAAAACTTTAAACAACATGGTTTTTGATGTATTACTTTTGATCTACCTTCTTCAAAGCCTAAGGGCTGAGGTGAGAAATTTGGGGAAATCTCTAGTTGCCGGAAATGACACTCTTATAGGGCAAAATTCATCGTCATCTAATTAATCGCTGTGACGTTTCATTGAAAATAAACTCGATTTTCTTTGATGTATTTTTAATTTACTTTACCTATTATTATTATTATTATTATTATTATTATTATTATTATAATTTACTTTACCTATTATTATTATTATTATTATTATTATTATTATTATTATTTTTATTATTTTTATTATTATTATTACACTCTTTTTCTAATACTTTTCAAATTATAACAAAGACACGCGCACTCGAGTCGTGTAGGCCTATTATAAGTAATTCAGATGTTTGTGGGCAGAGATAGAGAACCGATTTTACAACACCATTTCGTTAAAACAAGTGTCATCAATGCAGTTCATTTTAACAATTTTCAGGAATCTCCGAATTGGCTTATGAAATTACAGTATTACATTGCGGACGAAAAGTGAGGGGAACAACTCCCCACTCCATTACAAATATTTGAGGACGTATTCCCCTGTCCTCTTTGATCATAGATTTTTGGAGGGGTGTCCGCTTCCACTTGAGATGTTTTTGGAATTAGTAAACGGCTAGACGCTGTTGGATGACAACTGAAAAGAATAGAAAGCGTATGTTTCATGACAGTATACATGTATACTCGAGAAGCACACACACATACACACACACATACACACACACACACAAGACAAGTGACAATTTTTTGTTAGTCACCGAAGGGGGGTGGCTAGTCACAGTATTCACCCCCGTCTAGCTCCGCCACTGGAGAAGGCATGAGATATTACCCGCGTATTATATTAGGTGGTGTAATATTTTAACGTTTTTAAATTGTTCCTAATGTAATGTCTCTAGTTATGTCTTTTTTTATTTGTATGTATTCCGGCTCATGTTTTATTACAATTTGATCACAACCTGTATGTACATATAAATATAAATAATCAAAGGTATATATATATATATAATTATATATATATATATATATACATATATATAACATAAATCAAGGTAGCCGTTAACACTGTTAAATCATATATAAATAATCAAAGAAAGGTAAATATAGTGTTCAAATAAAGGACTTAATAAATACATCGTGTAGCATAGCTCTCATATGATTTAACAGTGTTAACGGCTACCTTGATTTATGTTATATGCACCTATTTGTTTATAGCCGTACCTATTGTGTAATAGAGTGTATCTGGTGGTATTTGAATCTCTT